CGAGGAAGAATTTTACCCTGCTCACACTTATTTTGGCTACAACATCTCTCTAAGAATCCTTCATTTTTTTTAGTTCCTCCATCATTGTACAGATCAACTCCCAAATTCTGTCCGCCTCCCCCTTACTACTTCCTTCCATCACCCTCTCTCCTCCTTCCAGTATCACCCTCTCTCTTACATCAGAACCTCCTGGATGGGAAGCTAGAATATCTGTTACAAGCATAGCACACAGGTCAGTACCTAAAAAAGAATTGACACCCATACCTGGTAGGACGGGGGTAGGACTAGAATCACTGGAATTGAGTTGCTGATAGGCGACAAATGGTTTTAAGGCCTTTCCCCTTTTTGGACAAGTTGTGAAGTAGACATAGTGAAAGAATCACTTCCTGACGACCTACCCACTTGGAAATCCTTTCTCTGTGTTTCCGACACTGAAATACCCACATCCATCCTCACGGCCGATTCTTGTCCCTCTCCACGAACATCCTGTAATTCATTAGACTCAGGGTCAGCTCCCTCGACGAAGGGAAGAGGAGTTTTCACAGCTTTAGAACCATTTTCTTTGCCATTTCTAGTCTTCCCGCCACCTGCCTCTTCAATCTCTTCCTTTAAAAACAACAGCTTTGTATGCAAACTTTCTATTTCAAGTAAATCATTGTTGCTTTTCGGAGACAGACTTCCCAAACTTACAATTTCATCTCTATCAGAATCGTCACTGCTGTTTTGTTCACTCAACCAATCTTCAAACCCTATTCTGTTCAAATCACTAGGCTTCAGGTATTTCGGGTTGCGCCTATCTGGTGAGAGACGGTTCGCTAGGTTGGATGGGACCCACTGTAGAGAGCCTCGAGACTGAGAGTCTTGAGATTTTACGCCTGAACTGTTCGACCGAAAGGTGGGATTCGGGGTAGAAGAAGATAGACGCTTAATCTCGTCTATCAGCTCATCCCTCCTCCCAGTCACGTGTTTACTTAAAGGGTCCCTTGGCCCATCTGTCTTGTAATGGGCCTTGGAAGTCGTTGGGTCTATACGATCAAACTGAAGTCAGATGGTTCCCTTGATCGATACAAGGCTCAGTTAGTTGCCCAAGGATACAGTTAGGAATATGGGATTGGTTATGAAGAAACTTTTGCCCCAGTTGCTAAGATCACCACAGTTCGGACTCTTCTAGCCATATCTGATGTTCATTCCTAGGCTATCTACCAACTAGACGTGAAGAATGCTTTTCTTCATGGTGAACTGAAGGAGGCAATCTACATGAAGCCTCCACTTGGATATTGCAGTGATTCTTCACGTGTCTATCACCTAAAGATATCCCTGTATGGTCTAAAGCAAGCACCCAGGGCTTGGTTTGAAAGCTTTCGAGATGTTGTTGCAACTGGGTATAATCAAAGTTCCTCTGACTACTCTCTTTATTACGAGAAGGCCACAAGGTATCACTATTCTACTATTGTATGTTGATGACATGTTGTTAACTGGGGATGATCATGATGGCATTTGTGAGTTGAAGTTCTTACTTCATAACTCCTTTCACATGAAGGACATGGGCCCCCTTATTTTTTGGGTTTGGAAGTCCATTGTAGCAGTCGAGGGTATTTCATTTGTCAGCAAAAATATGCCCTTGATCTCGTCAAACTAGCTGGAATTACTGATGAAAAACACGTTGATACCCCTCTGGAGTTGAATGAGAAGTTGTATAAATCTAAAGGCCTAATTCTTCCTGATGCTACTTTGTACCATCAACTTGTTGGCTTTCTGATCTATCTCACTATGACTCGGCCTGATATTTCACATGTTGTTCAGGTTGTTAGTCAATTTGTTTCTGCCCCGTAGCAACCTCATATGACTGTTGTTCACCGCACCATCCGTTATGTTAGAGACACAACCTCTCAGGGGCTGTTTTTCTCTTCCTCATCACACATACAGTTGAGAGTTTATGCTGATGCAGATTGGGCTGGTTGTCCTGACACTCGTCGATCCACTACTGGGTGGTGCATCTTCATGGGTGATTCTCTCATCTCCTAGAAGTGTAAGAAACAACAGACTGTCTCTAAGTCTTCTACCGAAGTTGAGTATAGAGCTATGTCTTCTACCTATAGTGAGATTGTTTGGTTGAAGTCTCTCTTCATGTATCTTGGTACTAAACTTCCTACACCTATCCCTCTATATGCCGACAACACAAGTGCTATCAAGATTGCATCTAATCCTGTCTTCCATGAGAGGACTTAACATATCGAGGTGGTGGACTATCACTTTATTAGAGACCTTTTCGTTGCTGACTCTATATCTCTTCCTCATGTAGCCTCTCACATGCAAATTGCCGACATCTTCACCAAGGCCATGACTAAGAGTCAACACCTCGTTCTTGTGGGCAAACTGATGCTGATGTCTACGCATCAGTTTGAGGGGGAGTGTGAAGATATATCTTGATGTACATTATTAGTATAGCTCTTGTTGTACAGTACAAATTTCTTATTATTTTATTTGTTCTTTTTATCTTTCATCCCTATAAGGGCATTCTTGTAATTGTACATATCTTTCATATCTTTTAATATAAAAGAGGCTCTTTGGGGTGGGGGTCGACCATTCTTGACACCCCTAATTCTGTTCTCTCTCTTGTTCTCAATTCGATTCACATGCTAGACACTTTTGTTTTATTCATTTTGAAAACAATTCCCACTTTCAAATCATGTTACCAAATTTTCTATCATAGACTTTAGATGAGCCTTTTTATGAGTAATAGATCAAAAGTGCAAAAGAAACTTCATTTTTTTCAAAGAAGATAATAGAGACACAGCTTTAGCCAAGTTGAGAGAGCCTGCTACACTAACAAACATTGTACCTCCAAGGGGACCCTCGATATAAATCATCCCTATTAGCGGCTTCTCTAGGTCTGCTAGTCAGTATCATATCTTTGTAGCCCTCCAAACAAGATGTTCATACTGGATGTCAAACAGATTTTTATTGACCAACAACCCTTTTTATGCATTGCAATGAGGGGTTGTTATGATAAGGTCATGGTCCATTATTTATTCACTCAGTTCGTTTGTTGCTTCAAGGGTAACATCTTGGTTGGGATGGCCCTTTACAAGATGCCAATATCTGCATTTTCCCCGTTCTAATAAATTTCACAAGATGCCAATAAAAGGAGAAATAAAAAAGACTTGTTCAATGTGCCAATATCTGCAATTTCCCCTTCATTTGGATTTTTCTTGACAATACAACACACTTAGATTAAGAAACAAAGTCTATATAAAAATAGATTAAAAAAATATCTGTCAAAAAATAGATTAAGAAACAAAAAGATTCACTGAGAATGCAAATCTATTGAAATGATTGAGTGTGCAAATACATAACCGAAAACTCAAGTTATATCTTCAAAGGGAAAATGATTTAGTATCCCAAGTCCCCAGATAGCTGGGGTCATCATCAAGTAATGGAATTTTTTTTGTTTTTGATAAATCGGTAATGGAAAATATTGTTGAGAAACATGAAATAACATAAACATTATCTACCTTTAATGTATCCTGAACAAGTAAAAATAACCCCTATTTATATAAAAGTTAACCACAAATTTTCCAATATGCATACATAACAAAATAAAAGAAGAGTGAATAACCTGCACTTCTCGAAGCAAAATTCCATCTGTCATGAACTTGATGGAGCAACTGTCACCAATCCTCTTGTCATGTCTAACTTGAAAGCCAACCTCCTTTCCTAGATGAAGACCTAGCTCAAATGCCACTCGCTTAGCAGTAGCAAGGACAGCAATACGGCGTGGTTGTGTAACACCAATTACTCCATTCCTAGCTTGAGACTTGTTTGAGCCAAAGCCAGCTTCATAAAGGAACTGCAAGATATCAACCAAAAGGCAGAATTTTATCATCTTCTACACTTCAACTCTGGCTGCTAAAATATGAGAACAAAGCTACAACTTACCTGAGGAATTTGAGTAGTTTTACCACAACCAGTCTCTCCACAAATGATAACAGCAGAATGCTCATTTATAGCTTCCATTATCTCCTGCTCCATCATGACTATTGGAAGATCCTTCCTCTTGATGTCAACTTCTTTTGGTCTTGATACATGTACAACTATAGGAGCAATAGGTCTCCTTACAGAAGAATTAACAAAGACACCAGTACTAGGGGTATCTGATTTGGGACTACCATCCTCCCTATTCTGGCTCCAGTCAATCCCCAGCTTATATTAGTCAACGATCAGAGGATAATCATGCCACACACACACATGCATCCACTAGAAGCTACATACACTCATTTAAATGAGACTTAATGGAAAAAGCATACCTGTAAATTCGTATTTTTCCTCTGATCTTGATTTGATGACATAAGCAAAGATTTTTCCTGATATTGGATGCATGTCCAATTGTCCTTGTCAGAAGATTCCTTGGAAACTATAACATCAAATCCAATATCAGTATCTTGTTGACTGCTATATGCTGGTTCATGCCAAGTGTCTAAAGATCCAGAAGTAACATTTTCCCTGCCTACTATCACTAGTTGCTGAAAGTCATTCTTGCTAGACTCCTGCTTGTGGTGGATTCTATCAATAGCAGACTGACTTTGGCAGTAATTCTTATCATTACCCCTTCTTTCTGCCCTGTCTACCAGCACTGGTTGCTGAAAGTCACTCTTACTAGACTCCTGCTTGTGGTGGCTTTTATCAACATCAGACTGATTTTGGCAGAAATTCTCATCATTACCCCTTCTCTTTAAGGGTGGATCATCTTGTGGCACTTCTAAACCAACTTTAGAAAATTGAATAGCCCTTAAGCGTTTTTGCCGCATAGTCTCAGCCTACATGCATGGAAGCCCATTGACTGTTAAGAGATTCTTGTTTTCTTTTTCTTTTCCTTTTTGTGGGGCTCCTAAAAAGGATTTCCTTTAAATGTGAAAAAACAGAAAGAATGTTACTTTAATACTACATACCTGACCAATATTCCCTGAAGACCGCAGAAGTGAATATGCATCCTCTCTAATCTTGTACTGCCTGAAATGGTAAATTATTTATAAAATTCAATGGTCATTATATATAGTAAACTACTTGTATTTACCAAACATCCTGTACCCTGTGAAAACAAATAAATTGCAATTATGCACAAATAAAACAAAGCATCAAACAGACATACTCCAAGGTTTCAATGCTTTTAGATAGCAATGTTGCTTTCTCCTTCTCCTCCTGCACACAGTAAAGGTTTCAATCCAAAGTCTAGCAAACTTTGATTACCAACTAAATAGGCTCAGAGACACAAACCTCCAACTTCTTCAGCTTTCTTTTCTGAGATTTGCTCAAGCTTGGTTTTTTCTTTGTCTGGCCCTTTTCCAGAGCAAAAATAAGGAAATTTAACCATCAAGAAGCATATACTAGCATTCAGATACCTTAATAATACAAAGCTTTAGGATGACAAAGCATTTTAGGTTGCATCTATACCTGTTTTGCACATTTTGTTTTTTTCTTTTTCTTTTGCACCAAGAGGATTGCATTACTATCACCATCCTTGGAACTATAAAATGCAAGGCAGTAAAAATTAGTAAAAAAAAGAACCTAGCAGAAATTTAAAAAAAAAAAGTAAAGAATAAAGAACCTCTGTAATAATAAACTTCTATGTTCACTAGCATGAATTAACAACATAAAGAACCTCTTCCATTGGCCTAACCACTGATGGTACATTAAGATTCACCATGTGCATTAAGGTTTTTCTTTTCTCTTTTTCTTTTGGCTGTCTGGGTGTGATCAATGCCTGAAATAATATTTTAAATGTAGAAATAAGGATCATCATCAGAAAATCCTTGTCCCAACTATATGGATTTGGCTATATGAATCCTGTTTCACCATTCTGTTCTGTTCAGTGCCACATCCATTGTTAATTTTTTATCAATAAGATGATATTTTAATAGAGCCAAATAAGAAAGTTTCAACAGGGTGATAGTTTTTCCCCCACAATACAGTTTTACAGTTTTACCTAAAACATTTGATGTCTCATAGCCCCTTGTATAGCTAGAGTATCCGCCATCCCATTTACTGTTCTTCTCACCCATTTGAAAATTCAACTCCCTTGCAATGCTCTCAATCTCCCTAAATGTATGCCTATAGATCCAAGGGATTTGGATGCTACACCTTGTCCAGGAATGACCACCTGAGAGTCCCCTTCCACTAACCCATTACCCATTTGCCACCCAAGATTATATTTGGTCCTCACAGAACCACCCACACAGCCTTTTACAGCCGTGCATTGGGAACATCTCTGTACTTGTATAGTTGTATATTTTTTTCATGGGGAGATATTCCCAATGCACAACTGCAAGGGACTGTGAGGACCAAATCTGATTTCTTGCCACCCATGTTAGTGGATCAGAGTGGGTCACAACCCACATTGACCCTGATCCACCCTAGTCCACCCATTTGACCCTCTAATTCAATTATTCAAATTAGACATTTTTAAATTTTCTCTATTCTAATTACATAAAAACATAGAACTATATATTTCAATGACAAAAAACATAAAAAAAAATCATTTTTTCAAATAAATATAAAAAACACAAAACACAACAAATGGTAAAAATACAAAACAAAATAGCATTAAAATATAAATAAGTGTAGGAAAATGCCAAAAAAAATGCAGATAATGCACAAATTGATAGAAATTGATGAAAACATTAAATGATAAAAATTCAAAAAAATATATTTTTCAGCCAAAAAATCAGAAATTGCAGAATAATAAATAAAATAATTAAAATTGAAAAACTTATATATTTCAACCAAAAACAATAATCACAGAAAATTATAATAAAAGTTTCCAGAAATTATATATTTCAGGTAAAAATAAAAAATACAGAAAACACATAAAAATGATAAAAATTTTCATCTGCACCTCATTATATATTTCAGCTAAAAATGATTCATAAAAAAAAACTAAAAAAACAATGATCATATAAAATATACAAAAATGATAAAAAAAATAAAAAATAAAAAAAAAATTGGCTACGGTGGTGGGTCCCAGATCAAAAGGTCCTATCTAACTCACCGGAATCATCTACTCCTGATTTCTGACCCTTGTTTCTCCTCCTTGATCCATTCAATTGTTGGCATCCCTCTGATAAAAAAATAAAATAAAATTGTTGGCATCCTCTGCTGTGTTCAATCGACAACATCCTTTGCTTTGTTCAATTGCCAACATCAGTTTGTTGAAACAAGGTCACACCATTGGTGTTGCTTCAAAGATTGGGGAGGAATGCCAACAGGAAGCTTTGAAGTGTTCCAAAGGTGTCCATCCGCCATTGGTGCAAGATCATGGTGCAATGATTCAAAACTTCAAGCTTGGAGAGGAGGAACGCTAATTAGTGTCATTGCTGGTGGCGACGAGAATGGTAGCAACGACTTGAGCGAACCCTAAATAGTGAGAAGGGTGGCAACGAGAGTGGTTGTTGGTGGTTTTGAAGCTTGCTTTAGTGATTTGAGCAAGCCCTAAATAGAGAAGAAAACCCTAAATGGTAAACAGAGGAAAAGAAACCTTTGAAATAAGGAGGAAAAATTTTTGAACAAGTTTAAAGTCAAAGGTTAATGGGTAACCCTTGACTCAACCCCACCCTAACCCTAATGGGTCACCCAACCCATGTCGACCCACCACTAGAATGGGTGGGTATGGGTTGGGTTTTGAAGTGGGTGGGTTGGGTGGGCCAAATGGGTTGGGGTCAAAATTGCTAGCTAGAGTTAGGAATTAAAGGCCATATATTCATTCACTACCCCATGGCTTCCCCAATATGGTTCCATGTGTTCCAGTTAATCAATCCCGATCAGTGTTTTAAAAGCGCAAGGCGTAAAAAAAGCACAAGGGCCAATTTGCGCCTGAGGCACAAGGCACAAGGCGATTCCAAAAAAAAATGCAAAAAAAATAAAAATTATTAAACATAATGTTAATAAAAATATAAACTTAAATTTTAAAATAAATGATTTAAAAGATCTATTATCTAAAATTAAAATACATAAACATAACATGTAAAGTGTATTCAAATGAAAATTTAAAAATAAAAGCAAACATATAAAGTATTTTCAAACAAAGTGAGGGAGTGGAGGTCCTACCCCCTTTAGATTTGAAAATATGTGGTTACTTCATCCAGGGTTTCCTAACAAAGTGAGGGAGTGGTGGCATGAGTGTAAACCGTCAGTGGAATGGGAGGGGATGAGATTCCATAAGAAACTACAATTCTTGAAAGCAAGAATCAAGGAGTGGAATTTGATGGAGTTCGGGAGGACAGAAGAAAGAAAGGGAGACTTGATGAAGAAGATTGAAAGCCTTGACTTTAAGGAGGAAATGGGAGAATTTGGAGAGGAAGAAAATGACCTCAGGAGAGAATTGAGAAGACAGTTAGAGGACTACCTGCACAAGGAGGAAATTAGTTGGAGGCAAAAATCTCGGTGTAAATGGTTGCAAGAGGGAGATAGAAACACTAGGTATTTCCACTCTCTAGCAGATGG